TGAGCCACCGCGCCCGGCCTGTTCTAACATTTAATTAAAAAAAAAAATAGCAAGCTATACAACAGTCTGATCACGTCGAAGTCTAGGTACTGGTTTTGCTCTTCTCACTGACTTCTTTATTACTGAGCAATCACCCATCCTTTTGAATGGGACTCCATTCAAAAGAAAGGCTTGTCTAGACCCAGTATCTGTGTGGCTGTGCCCTCTGAAAAATCTCAGTCCACTCACCTCATGAGGGGAAAGAAAGAAATGCTAGTGAGACTAGTTCTGTCCATGTTAATCAGTACATCCCCAATCTCCTCCCCAGAGAGAAAAGCCACAAGCTATGACCCTGCTGAACACTGCATCCTAACATCGTGTCTTCATCTCCTCTCCTCACTCTCTCCTCCCCCCAGACTGGAAAACCCAGGCATTTTTAATACAGGCTGCTAAGGAAGAGTCTAAAAATAATCACTGAGAGCACATGTGACAAATCAGAACCAAGGAGGTGAGGAAAAGAGGTTGGAGGGTTTAGAAGAGTGTTCCCCAATCTTGTCTCAATACTACCTCCATAAATATCAGGAGCATGTACTTTTGCTCAGTCCTAAATTTCCTAATAAATAACCACAGAACTTAATTTTCTGATGAAAAGATAAAACAGTTTTATCCTCATGGAATTCAAATAAAAAGTAAGAGAACTTACAGACTTCTGCTCTCCCAAGCTTCACTCTGCTATGCCACTGATACAGGGGAGCTGAGTTTTAAGGGGACACAGACCTACATCTCCAGACAGGCCTGCAGGTGAGGCAGAAGGTACCAGACATAGGGCACTTACTTCCTAAGAATGATGACAGCGCGACGCTCCTTGATGTCCTGAGGCCGTATGCAATGAGTGATTTCATCAGCAGCATATCCACTAAAAAGAAACAGAACATGTGGCTGTGAAGAGCAGACAGATAACCATCATTCCTGGGGGATAAGAGGATAGGAATATGGCCCAGGTCTTACTTATGGCCACTCTCTACCCATTATGTGAGAGGGATTTACATAGAAGGGAAATACCATGTTAAGCTACAGGAAGCTTTTGCTCAAAAACTAACTTAAGGAAAAACCTGCTACGAGACAAAGGAGACCCATGGGCCTCTTAAGGCAGAGGCCAGTGCAGAATTCTCCCTGCACAGGCCAGAAGCTCTTCTTTTTATCAGCCCTCAAGCAAGTACACCTTTAGTGGCTCTGGAGGCAACTGGAGGGACTCAGGCCAGACTTTGGTGAGAAGATGAAGAACTGCATCTCCTCCTCATTCTCCCTCCCTCCCTCCAGCACAAAGAGGAAACCAAGGCAGCCGCTGACAACACTGAGTCACCAGGGAGAACTAGGACTGCCATGTTCCAAAAGAGAATTTGTCTACTTGAAAAAAAGCTTGCAAAAGCCTCCATTTGGGGGGGACCCAAAATTTGGAAGATAGCTGTGTTTGGGATATTTGAAGAATTTTCAAATATCTATTTTTCAACAAGTTATATGACTTTTTTTTTTTTTTTTTTTTTTTTTTTTTTACAAATTTTGGAACTATAATGCTTTTATTACCAGAATGTATGAAACACTGATCCTTTTATAATTCTGCAATATTGACTCAGACTCTCACAAAGTTTTCAAATTCGTATTTTAGATTTCTAGAACATTCATTTAAAGTAAATGTGACTTTGTTGCTGTTGTTCATAACAGAATAAAATGTTTAGTTTTTATGATTCAGAATAAAAAGAAACAAAGGACTATGTTTGGGCCTGAGATAAATGTGGTAAAGAAAGAATCCAGAACACCCATCAGTGCACTCAAACCATATTCCATCAGAACAGACCTTCTGAATAAGTAATTATACCACCAATTTTATATACTACTAAACATTTTAAACATGTATTGATTAACTCATCAAACACAGAAAGTGCAATTTCACCAAATATGTGCATTTTCCAGGATTCATTTTAAAATTCAGGCTAAAAGTGAACAATAGTATTTCAATTAAATTATGGCATTTGAGAAAAATTACACTTCTGGGGAAAGATCACATAAACATGCTTTTTTGGCAGGGGGATATGTTTAAAAAAGCTACAATAATAATAATTGCCTTAACATTTCTTAAATCACATAAAAATAATCATCTTTGATTGCCATTTCAATAATTTTTGATACAGGGTATGATAGTATCCGCTCACTTAATAATCAAAACACATAAAAAGACTTGTGACAAATATTCAGAATCAATTATTTTCATAAGCTAAACATTTCTGAGACGATTTATGTTTGAGCATACAGTACTACAATAGCTACATAAAATAAAATCTTTTGGAGAAGAAGCTCAGTAATCAGAGGCTGTATTGCATTTAAGAATTTAACACTGGTTATATACAAAAGGGAAAGCATTTCAAATAGAAATACTTCACGTTACTGAGTTTTCTCTTAATATGGCAACATTCAGCAGCTTATGGTACTCTTTTATCCTTTGGTTCCCAGTG